TGAAACAATGTGAGGTATCTAAGGATACTATGCACAGTTTTAGGAGATGTGGAGTATTAAAAACCAGTATATATTAAGAGGTACTTGAATTTTAATACTATGCATCAATAAAATGATATAAGTGATTGTCGGGAGAATTAGTACCCAGAAGGGATGTGATAGACCCGATCACTAAGAATTTAATTACACGAGACCCTAAAGTGAGGATTGAAATTTATTTTCAGATGAGCCTGATGAAGAGTCTGAGGACAGACATAGTTAGGATGGCCGAATGTTACGCATTACGCAACCGGTGTGAATGATTCAGAGCCGACCCGTGGTGGTTGATTACATGTATTTATTTATCAGTAATAATTCAGCTGTCGGTGTGTTTACACGTTGTCTTAATTATAAATATTGTTTCTAGAATTGTTATTAGTTTCAAGTGGTGTTTGAATAAAAGTGTTAAACCTGACAAAGTGACTTTCCTTTATATTGTCTTATAGTAAACATTGCTTCCGAAGAAATAGAAACAATGTTTATAAATACTTTTCTACATACATTTTATGTAATAAATACATTAAAAGCTGTTAGTCATTATTTGGAGTTCACTAATAAAAAATCTCAAAAAATGTATTAAAAATCACTAGGTATTGTTTTTATAAAAATTGATTTTTCTAAAAAAAGTGCCAAGCGAATTGAGTTTATACTGAAAAAAAATTGTCTTGTAAGTGATTTTTTATCAAAATATGAAAAAAAATCGGATACGTCTGAACCTTTCAATTAAAAGTTATTCAGGGACACCGTGATCTTATATGTTAATGATTTGCCTCAATGTCATGATAATATTTTTATGTACTGCATTTTTTAAATCTTCGACAATAGATTATTTAATATCTAATATTGTTTTAACACAAGAAAATATATTTCAGTGGTTTCAAGACAACGGCCTCAAATTAATTGTAGGCAAAACACAGTATATTAAGTTTGGAAATTATGGGTTTACGAATAGCAAAATAAATATTAATAATAATTGTACTATAGAGTTAAATACATCAATTTAATTTTTAGGCATTACTTTGGACAATAAATAAAAATCATACCTTGTAAACAGATGTGATTACTGTGTTGATGATTTTTTTTCTAAAATTCTGACATCAGTTCCAACCTCATTTTTTTCCAATTTAAAACTCGATTGGTCCAAATCACAGTAAAAATTAAAATCTGCAAATCACCGATGCCTAACAATGTAAATAATGAGTTCGTTATTCCCGTTGTTAGGCTGGGCGGTTGGGCTGAGTGGTATGATTATCATCGATGTTATTTTTTTTATTGAAACCGAGCTGTAAATGTGCTGCTTCGATTTCAAGAAGTAAATATCATCGAAAAAATATAATGAATTGTAGGATAAAACAAATTTTTAGTTTGACATATAAAATTAAAATTTTGTGCCCAAAAATATAAAATATAATCAAATTTGACTTAATTTCTTTATCGTTTATCACTTCACCAATCTTTTAGAGCAGAGCTTCCCAAAGTGTGCGGCGCGACGCCCTTGGGACCCACACCAAGCTTATATGAGTTTATAATTACATTAAATAGACAATCTTCAAGCAGAATTTAAATTAAAGTTTGAGAAAAAAGTTAGTTTTTAAGCGCGCCTTACCAGCGCAATTTATAATTCACCAAAGTTTATCGGCAAATTTCAAAATTTATTTAAAAAATCCAAGAACTACAGATTCCATCCAATTTTAAATTTTTATTATTCTTTTAACTAAAATTTAAAAAAATTAAAAATGGAATAAAATAAGTCTTGGATTTTTTTAATAAATTTTAAAATTTGTTGATAAACTTTAGTGAATCTTAATTCTGCTTGAAGATTGTTAGACCAGTGCAGAAGCCTTTAAAAATGGTAAAAAGAGAAAAAAAATAACAGTAGGATGAAACCCATTGGAAAAGGAGGGGAATATAATAAAAATTAAAGGAAAAATAAATTACGGGCGATCTGAGTTCGGAAAGTGGGTGGGGGGGTTTAAGGGTAAAAAATGGGTTCTCTCGATTTCCGGCAAAACTACAAGTCCTATGGAATAAAGTTAAATGGCAAAGTTGTAGGTAATAAAAAGATATACAACTTTTGTATTTACAATTTTTTCACATAACCTCAAAATTTATGTGAAAAATTCAAAAAACCAAGTTTTTGGTTTTTTATTTTTATCTTGTTGGTGAAAACTTACCTTTTTATGTCCCAAATACACTGTAATTTATTTGATTTGAAATATTTATTATTTCGCCTTATTTTGACTTAATATTAAAAAAGCACCCTAATTTTCAATCGAAAATTCTCGCGTCAAAATATCAGCTATTTTCAAAAAGTCGGTGTGCTTTTTGTTCAATGAACTCTCTACTTTCTGATGGTGTAAAAAAAATATACATTACTATGGTAAATGTTCTCAGAAAATACAAAACATATTATAATGAATAACGTAATCAGAATGAAGTATCTAAATTCAATAGTATGATTTACATGTATTTTTATATTTTATGAGATTTTCTGACATAAATGTTATTAGAATTTAATAAATAAACTTTTTAACTAAAAAAATTGCAACAATCACATTTTTTCTGATGAAATTGTACATAATGATTAAAATAAATTTTCGAATTCGAGTTTTTTTCGTTATTCATTATAATATTTTTTGCATTTTCTGAGAACATTTACCATAGTAATGTATATTTTTTTTACACCATCAGAAAGTAGAGATTTCAACGAACAAAAAGCACACTGACTTTTTAAAAAAAGCTGATATTTTGACGCGAGAATTTTCGATTGAAAATTAGGTTGCTTTTTTGATATTAAGTCAAAATAAGGCGAAATAATAAATATTTCAAATCAAATAAATTACAGTGTATTTGGGACATAAAAAGGTAAGTTTTCACCAAATTTCGTGGAAAAAAATTTTTTTTTTTAAAAGATAAAAATAAAAACCCAAAAACTTGGTTTTTTGAATTTTTCACATAAATTTTAAGGTTATGTAAAAAAATTGTAATTACAAAAGTTGTAGATCCTTTCATTACCTACAACTTTGCCATTTAACTTTTTTTAATAGGACTTGTAGTTTTGCCGGAAATCGAGATAAACCATTTTTTACCCTTAAACCCCCCCCCCTCCCACTTCCCGAAGTCAGATCGCCCGTAATTTATTTTTCCTTTCATTTTTATTATATTCCTCTCCTTTTCCAATGGGTTTCAACCTACTGTAATTTTTTTTGGTTTCAAAAATTATCGACCCTGGTCTATGTCTATTTAATGTAATTATAAACTCATATAAGCAGTGCCAGCGTGAGGCATGTGCAAACGGTGCGGTTTGACCCGGCCCCGCGTTTTGTAGGCCCCGCGCGCATCAAGGCGTCTTAACGAAATTATTGTACATTTTAGCAACATGGCAAGCTGTAAGCAAAGCGTGACAAAATAATATCTGGTCATTGCCAGAGATAATAACTTTAGTATGTATTGTCATCTATTATCATTCAGTCCAATGTTGCTAAATGTGTATTTGAAGTTGCCTGTATCCGTTTAAAATAATTATTATTACGCCGGGAAAAGTTTTTCAAAATTAAAATTAATAAAAAAAATATTTAAATCAAGAAGATATGTGCCAAGAACGACTAGTGGGTTTGGCTATATTGTCAATAGAGAAAGATGTTGGAAAAGAGCTAAAGCAGGGAAAAATTATGTGTGATTTTTTCTTAAACGTTAATTTCTATATTAATTGATGGGAAAAGCTGAACCACCCAAGTGCATTTTTAAGTCAAAATTTTCTACTATCCGGTAACACGCTTAAAAAATTTTGACTTAAAAATGCACTTGGGCGGTTTCAGCTCTAACCCCTTCAATTGGTTTTTCGTTTGATGTTTTAGTGGTTTATTGCCGCTAAGCGCTACATATGTTAATTTTCAAGAGTAAATTTTTAGTTCAAGCAGGCCCTGCATATAAGTTTGGTGTGGATCCCATGTTTACTATTGAGATATCGGTATACTCGAAATCCACAATCCGCCACTGTTTAAATGTCAAATCAAAAAACCGCCAAAATCCTTGGTAACGTGTAAACAAGGTGAAAATATTATGCGTTGCTATGGAAAACTGCCATTTCATTGCTTCTAATATAAATAAATTGTATTGTTACATCAATATATTTTATTCTATTATTATAGCTGCATATATTTTTTTAAATTTAATCGCAAATTTTGTTATAGAATATTTTTGACATATTAAATGCATAAAAATCGAGCCCTATTTATTTTATTTTTTATGAAATATATATATATATAATATGGCAGTGTTAAATTATTTCTGTGTCTTGTTTGATAGCTATGGGTGTCCGATATTGTAGGATAGTTTTTTTCATTGTTCTTCTTTATATGAAAAACAATGAAAAAAACTATCCTACAATATCGGACACCCATAGCTATCAAACAAGACACAGAAATAATTTAACACTGCCATATTACAGATTAAAAAAATGTCAAACAGGGACACATTTTTTGGGAATCAAGTTTTTTAACAATCTTCCGATAAGTTTAAGAAGTCTTCCGACCAAAGATTTTAAAAATAAAATAAAAGAAATTCTTATTCAAAATTCGTTTTATTCAATGGATGAATTTCTAAATTTTAATTTTAATTTTAATTAGTTTTTATTAGCAAAAATTGAATTTATACCGATACTTTGTTTTTACCCACATGTATTGTAATTTCTACTTTAATTTTGTATTCTCTTATTTTGACTTGTGTAAGTACTTGTTTGTATGTAACATAAATAAACATTATTATTATTATTATTATTATTATTATTATTATTATTATTATTATTATTAGTTAAAATACTGCGACATTCTATGGATACTATATATTTATAGTGTATAGTGTTTTTTAATTAAATAAATTATATAATACCCTAATGACTTAAATATAATTGTTTAAGATTTTTTAACTATCTATTCTAACAAACATTCTTTTTTTATTAGGGTGACTGGAGCCTTCTGGAGAAACTTATAAAACATGATGATATATTAAGACAAATTAAGGACCCAGACCTAATTGAATTTTATGCAATGGTTTATAAATTACGTAATGAATATGATTATAGTGATATCAACAGGAATATAGGACTAGTTATTAGTCCAATGATAACAATTAAATGTCCAGAGGGGTTGAGTGTAAAACTTTGTGTTCATCCCGATTATGAAGAAGCTGATTTTGAAAAGCCTGTATATTTTACATGTGATGGTAAGACACTATGTTTTTGTATAATACAAACAATATTTAATTATTCTGTTAAACTACTATTAAACAGCGACAGTGTAATTTCAACCAAAAATATGACACCTAAAATCGGTAATATAGGTTCATAAAAATCGATCCCCTAAGGGCTTAGCTTAGCTTAATAAGGATGGTTATAATTATAATTAACTAATTAGTATAATAATTAGTTATAACTTATTACTAATTTGGTGTTTATACAAACACGACGGAAATTGCCTGGGGGCACAAAGACAAACATAGAGACATTCAGACCATACGTGCAGGATGCAATCCATGACCAACCCCACCGTTATGCATACATTACAGACAGGAAACGTAAAACAGAGGATTACTTAAATGACCACTCACAATGGGTTTTGGGTGGGACTGGAAACAAAACAACAGCATCGGACGTAATCGGAATACATCACTAACAGGGGAGCACAGACACATACGAACAGGAAGTACACCAACAAGGATAGGTCCTAGCAGCGTACTAACTTACCTACCCCCATTCATGAACTCCAATTGAATGGGGTTATTACCAAAGCCCTGGTTAACGAGGATTTCGGATTGTACCTAGTTTTGGGTCAGTACACTGTCCGCCAAAAACCAACATGTTTTCCCTCCTTGTCCCGCACTCCACTCCACTAAATTGGGCGTATGGCCCGACCCGGCGACAAAATTCCGGGAATGGCGGGAGATCCACCAGCCGGCGCAAAAATTCGGATGCAACAAACACATGTAATGCTGTGCAGTTGCGGGATACGTAGGAGAACGGAAAGGTGGGGCCTGCCATACGTCCCCATACTCATACTCATAACTTATTACTCATTTGGTCAAAAAAATTATGTCAAAATCAAAATCCTCGCCTCGAAAAATACATAAAAATTATTAATCGATAATAATAATTATTATTAATAATTATAATTAATAAAAAAATAAAAGGTCAAGTATGTGATGGCCAAATAGCTTATAAAAAAGCTAAAGGCCATTAACCTCTGAATACAGAGATACTCTGTATTCAGATTTATTGAATTGAATTGAAGTATGTGATGGTTTTTTGAGGTTATTTCAAAACCCAATCGTAAAAGCCGTGACTAGGTGCACGTTAGAGTGCCCGCAATTTATTTTTTACGGGCACGCTAGTGACGTAATAGATAAAAAACGTCATCACTGCCGTGCCGCTTAATTTAAAATTGGCGGCACAACAATAATATAATGATAAATTGTACCTGTATACATGTTAAGGGCACGTTAGTTACGTAATAAAACCAAACCAACCCAAACTCAACAACACAACCCAACCGACCCCGCCCCATTGGCCCCCCCCCGCCCCATTGAGCAAAAAACCCAACTAAAATGGGCAAATTTATGTTACGATAAAAATAAAACACTTTTTAACAAAGGAACAACAAATTTATGAAATAAAAAAGTAAAAAAATTTCGACAACTTCTGAGTATCGAACCCGGGACCTCTCGCATGCAGAGCAAACGCCCTACCATCTAAGCTATCTAGCTTGACAACAAATATTATATGTTCGGGTAACAAAACCGGATTATTATTATGACGTCACTAGCGTGCCCGTAAAAAATAAATTGCGGGCACTCTAACGTGCACCTAGTCACTTTGAATCGTAAAAGGTACTAAAGTGTGACAAATATAAGCTTTCAGTGACGTCAGAAGTCCGATTTACCAAGCATAAATTTATATTTTAATTACTTATGCCTGACTGGTGCCACACTAAAGCCTGAGTTATAGATTGCCTTCCTTCCTTCCTTCCTTCCTCCCGTAGAAGATGAACATTACGTAATTGTCACCATTAACATTTCCCATGTAGGAATTTTTAATACTTTGTGCTAATATTTTGCAATTATAGTAATAAAAAAAAATCAAAGAATAAAATATTTTCTTAACAAAATCATATTTTGAAGCTATTTTAAAGTATCAATAATTGTTAAGTTTAATTAAAATTAATAACGGGCAATGTTAATGGTGACAATTACGTCAAAAATGTTTATTTAAATTGTAGTGCCAGTTATAGATTCCCGTACCGTAAGGACGGCATTCCTTCCTCCCGTAGAAATTTTTAAGTTTTATCTTTCACACTAAAGGTCTTTGACATGACCAATCACAGTGCTTGTTATGGACATGCGCTGTAGGGTGACAGCGCGTAGGCACAAAATATTTAAAATACATGATTGTTTAGTATTATTTAAGGTAGGTGTTCAGTTTATTAAATAATAATATTTAGATATTGTTTATGATCAATGTCTTTCATTTTTAGAAACGTTGCTTTGTAAAACCCCGTAGTTTCGCGGTCTTGGTAAAGTGGACGAGTCTTCCAACGTCTTGTTCGATGTTTTTTTTTTCATTATACTGCCCTACTATGGAGAAAGGCAGTACTTAACTACAAAAAATTCTAAATGCGTTTCCTGTGCTTTGGCTATGGACATTTTGTATCTTAATTCAACAAAGAAATGCAGTAAACTATCTTATAAGTTAAATAAATCAGTTAAATACGTACTGCTTTTTATAAAAATGTAGTTTATGCTAATTTCCCACAAATTTCTTGTTTAACAGTTACTGCCTTTCTCCATAGTTGGGCAGTATACAACAAGCTGCCTTGGCAATTAAAATTGTGACCACTGCACTAATATATAAATGTTTATCTTTCATATTTACACACAATGGGTAAAACGCAAAATATAAACAATAACAAATGTCAAGCATTTTAGGTGTCATCGCGCATGGTTACGGAATTTTACACGGAAATCTATAAATTGACTTTTTACAAGACGCTCAAATCGTACGGGCACGACTACGGGAGGAAGGAAGGAAGGCAATCTATAATTCAGGCTTAATGCCTGACAAGATTTGAATGTTGAAGTGATAGAAAAATTATTTACAAACCTAAATATTAGCAATAAATACAGTTTATTTATATTAACATTTAAATGTCTTAAAACGTCAAAGCCGGTTGCCGTAATGAAGAGTTACTGGTAAATGCGACAGTGTAATCGCTTCTTTTATAATATGTAATACGGACGCTGTATGTAATTTAATGTATTCCGACCCAAAAATAAACTTTACTAAAAGCTTGTCTTTGCTAGACTATAGACTCTATAGAGTGAACACGATTAGAGAAATACATGTACCTACGTCATAGAGCTCAGACATCAAAATTGCCGGATGATTCCTTAAAATTTTAGGGGTGGTCCTTAGTCACTAGCGTTTGATCTATTATTCAACTGGCAGCATTTTGGTCAATCAGCTAAATGATAACGTACTATGCCCCACACATCAAAGTCCCATCAAGTGACTGATAGAAATAATTTAGGTTAATTTTCTGTCAGTGTAAAGCTAATTTCGTCCTATTTTCTAAAAATTTTGCAATATATTTATTTTTTGTCTACAGAGGTCTTAATTTGAAACACAAAAAATACAAATATTGTATTATTTTTTGAAAAAAAACCTATTGGTTTTGTACATAACTTCAAAAAACCCTATCATCACATAATGAAAAATGCAGTTTTTCTAGTCTATGTTGAAAACCAATTGTTAAACATAGGTACTAGTTCGACCTCAGATTCGGTTTTAGCAGCTTAAAATACATAGGAATACACGCACACCAAGCTTTAAAGGGCGGAAATTTGGCAAAAAAATAGCAATTAGTCGTGAAACCGCGTTTAACTTTACGTGCCGATGCACTGTCTGGGTTTTTATGAAACGATAGCTCCAAAGCAAATTTGCACCATCTGAAAATTATTTTTTGAAAAGACAAAAATTCCTTTGAGACGTAATACCTAAGACCACAAAATGTCGAAATTTACTCCCCAAACAATCCGACCAGATCATCTACTAACAAAAGATCCTATATGGCTATAAATTTAAAAATATTAAACAATGTCTAGTCAAACAGTCGACGCGTCGATTAACCTTACGTGCTAATGCACTATAGTTTCAGGAAATAAATTTTTTGGTCAACAGCCTTTTTTAAGTCTAAACACATCTTGATATGGATAAATGGTATATTAAAAATAAATACTTCAAAGATCAACATTCTTCATTTAAACTTTTACTTGAGAGTACAAGTTGTAGGGGGTCCCCTTACTTACATAAGAAAGTCGTTGTTAAAAAAATTAATTTCAAGATTTAGATGGACGGTGGCGGTGTTTGGCAGGAATTTTTTGTCTTGATTTAAATAAACATATTTAACTATAAAAAACCGTACAAATAATCCATCCATACATATTATAAATGTAAAAGTCAATATATATATATATATATATATATATATATATATATATATATATATATATATATACAGGGTGTCCGGGAAAAGGAGGTCAATCCGTTAACCACATATTCTTTGAGTTAAAACAATAAGACTTTCATAATAATACCATTTTTCAATTTAGAGCTTCATGTTCGATATACAGGGCGACAAAGTTTGAAATTTAAAACTGATTTTTTGTAATAATTCGAGTAATTGATTAGATATTAAGTTCAAATTCGGTACACTATTTCAACATGAATAGTTACATTTTTTAAGACCAACAAAACGAAAAACAATTATCAAATAATCAAAATAGGGGTGTCCAGTACTCACTGACTCCCCCTATTTTTTAGTGCGTGCGTCAATGACTTCCAAACGGTATTTTTTCAGGTAATCATTTATTGTTGAAAATTTTTTGTCTGTTATAAAATTTTGATAAAATGATTTGTTTTAAATATAATTGTAAAGTATGGGTCAATCCATATCAAATTTTTGAAATTTAATTTTTTTTTTGAAAAAATTTTGGTCATGTGATATATCATAAAAAAGGTCTCTAATAGGCCTTTAAAATAAGCCATCATTCACCTTTCTACTTTTAATAGTTTATGAGATATCGCTATTTTTGTAAGTACTTGCAAAACCCAAATTTATCGGAATTTTTTGATTTTAAAAATCAATAAAACAAAAACCACCCATCGAAAAAAATTCATATATGGGATTTTTGAGTTTTTTAGTGAGGTAAACAAATTTACCAAAAATTATCAAAATCGGAGATGCATCTCCATCTACAATTGTATGCACCTAATTATTTTATGTGCTTATAAAGGAAATCTTACTGAACAATTTGGCAAAAAAATATTTTCTTAAATTTACCAATGTGTCTTTAAAACGTTATAACTTTTACGTTGGATTTAATTTACTATTAAAATTGTCATTATTTATTAGATACAAAGTTATTTTAAATTATTTATAGTCGTTTAAAAAATATGAGGCATTAAATGTAGCAGCGACTGGGTAGCAGCAAGGAACCCAGATGCATTGAAATTCTATGGATGAGTCGTAGCTAAATATTTGTAGCTGGGCGAATTTTCGTTAAATGTGATAGAACAGTGTAATATACTGCAAAAAAATTCTATAAGTTTATAAATAACAAAAATAAACTTTATAGAAATAAAACTTGTAGGGTTAATCTGAAATAGGGAAGGAAGACAAGGAAGAAATGAAACATTGTCCTCCTCCTAACGCATCTTCCTGAACGTTTTATGACACATTGCTTTTGACTTTTTCAAACGTTATTTTTCAGAAATACTGTTAAATGTAAATATCTTTCGGCATTTGTTTGGAATTTCTACTATGCTTTAATACAAAATGAATATAAAAAAGTTAACTTTTAAAACAAGAGTTTTATGTAGCGTTTTGTAAAAGACACCAAAAGTGTACGCAAAAAAATCTTACCTTTAAAATATTTACAAAAAAATTCACACACTTTACACGTGCTCACTTGTTGTTGCCGAAATATCAAACATGTATGCCCTCTAGAAATAACACGATAGTATCTCTATCTCATGTCTCTATTTCGAAGTAGTCGGCATAGAAGACGACGTTAGGAAAAAGACAAGATTTTTGAATGTCAACTTTAATATTTTTTTCTGTTTAAACTACTTTGTAGAAAACTATTTTATTTTTATATACGAATAAAAGAACTTTCCATTGTTCAAAAATAATTTATTTTTTCAGAAGAGAGCTGCAAAGAAGAATAATATAATAATTTAAATTAAAAAATCGCCTCTGGGGACAGTTAGGTTACAGGACATTTCAACTAGTTTTTCTGCCATATATAGAAACACAAAGTAATTAAAAAACAAAATACGATGGGTCCTAACAGGAAGGGGGTATTTAAATATAATAAATACAAAACTTATCAACAAAGGTCAAAAATAAAAATAAAATTAGCTGGGGACAGCAAATGTACATTTAACGAAAATTTGCTCAGCTACCAGTCGCCGGTCTTAGGCGAATGTGGAGGAACCCGTAGCTTAAGGTAGTAGTCGTGCTGTAAGCATACCATCAGAAAATTTTAAATTTTTGTATACTTATTAAGGACATGACAATACAATTATCCTTAAAATTTGAAGTCGATTGACCGTCTATAAACCGAAATAAATTCAATTAAAAATTGGATAAATAACATGGATTCTATACGCTTTCTGTAGTTCTGTACCAGTTTCTTAGTTATAAAAAAAAACTAATTGTCAGAAGCTTTAAACAGTCTGTTAATGTATTTTTGCTGAGTGAGAAAAAATAATTAAAAATTTTTGACCGTCCAATTGTTTATAAATAACCGTTTAAAGTTCAACAATTTGTAAAAAGTATACTTCACTAGTGTCAGATAAAAACAACTTGGCAACGCTGTACGCGAGTATAAAATATTTGAAAGTATTACGTAAAGGTAATGTCTCCAGGGTACAGTCTTGCGAAATAATTATGAATCACTTAGCTACAAGCTCGTATACTTTTACGGTGCGTATAATCTAAAATTTTGACAATATTGTACCACGACAACTACCTCAAGCGTAATTTTTAGCCAAATTTACGGTTATAAAAACATTCTACTTTGAGAGTTTATAAAATTAGTTTATTTACTAAAGCCTAATGGTTTAAGGTGTTTTTAACAAATTGTCATCCGCCGATTGCGCCGATGCGTCTTGCAATGCTTAAGTAATATTTCCTAATCTTATTATTCCAAATAAACAAGTTGACCAACGTCTAAGAGAGAATGGTGGACAATTTCTGTTATTAAAGTACCCAGCTAACAAAGTTGTGTTCAAATTGAAATCAACGCGAGCTCAAGACTTGATTTTTACGCATCAAGCCTTGAGGTCAAAAACATATCAAGTTTATTCCTCATTTCAGCTCAATGTTACATCAAACCTTGATTTTCGATTAAATTCGCATCAGATGCGCGCATGCCCTGCCTACTTTTGGCGGAATAATTCAAATATTTGAAAAAATCAAGTTATGGGTTTTAAAAGGCAAAAATAATAATAATAATTTTTTAGTTTTGGATATGTTTGCATCAAATAAACAGTACTTTTGCCTTTCAAAACCCATTACTATACATATATTTTCTTGCATAAAATAAAATATGCAATTAAAACACAAACTCAAACTTTAAAATTTATAAACAAAATATTAAAATATACAAAAAAAAACTATTACAATTTTTAAATTTGCTCTTCTTCAACAGTATTCTTATCGTCGCTGTATACAAAACTGCTGTTTTTTAATTTGTCACACGTTGTATGGCAGGGAGAGAAGATTCCATCATCACTTGTCGACATCATTTTTTGCTTGTAAACAAATAGATGCGGCGCAGCATGCGGTTTCAAAAATAATTATAGGTAGTGTAGGTAGTTACAGGCAGTGCAAATTTGGTTTGGATCTTATTAAATAAGTCTCAATTTTTTTTCAAATCTATATCCAAATATAGAATTTTTTAATAGAGGATCTGCTCGGATTTTACAGTGTGAGATTTCGACATTTTAAGGTTGGTGTGCGCTGCGCTAAACAATATTATATATCATTAATCAAAAGGGCAAGCACAAACAAGTTTAAAAGGTTTCTGAGTTTTAAGGATTCAACAGCATTCTGTGTGAAGACTTTTTGCCGTTTTATAATTATATTTTTTCGATTTCGCACAAGTTTATAAAATTCTGTTAATATTTTTGGGTACCTATATCCCATTAGTTACAAGGTTAAGAATAACACCTGTTCAAGTGCTTTGTTTTTGTTTTGGTTATTTTTTAATGAATTGTAAATTTAAAGAAAAAAGCTTTTTATTTAGGTATAGGTAGAGTTTATTTTAATTGTTTATGAATTAGGTATTTAGTTAATTATATCAACTAGTTTTTAGGTAAATATTAATTATTTAATTATTTTAGTCACTACCAGTATCGAGCATATTACACTTCAACTAATTTGTGAACTGGAGGCCCCTTCCAAAGATAAGTACACTTTAAAAGTGAAGGGTTATGATGAATATCTGGTTCCAACTTCATTATTAAGTGATTATGAATATGTACATAATTGTATTAAATTGGAAGAAGATATTGTATTAATATTGATTCCAGATAATAAAATTGAAAAGTTTTTTCTCCGAACGGTAAGTTCTATAAATTACCCATAAAATTAAAATATGCAATATATTCTGTAACTTGTTTGAAATGCAACCTATTTCGCTCGAGTAAAAAGTTTATTCAAACAATTACAAAATAATGACACATAGTGATAGCTCAGTAAGGGAATGCGTTTTATTTGGCTTTAAAAAAACAAATAAATCAATTGACTTTTTTTATTGAAAAACATGTACTTTTTATTATTATAGTAATATAAAAATTTAATTGTTACCTACCAAAAATATTTATTCAACACAGCTATGTGAATTTATAATCTTAGTAACTTAAACCACAAAGTTTTACCATGTCAAATTCAACCGCCAGGAGGCGCCACTTGCAGATCATTTTCACAGTTGGTGGCAGTGTATTACGCATGAGCGCCCTCTAGGAAAAATGTGGCGGCAGAATTGTGAACCTAGGTGGCCCGGTAATTCGATATCTGTTTGGCTCGGAAATTCATTCATTTTTGACGCCATTATTGTTGTTGGTTGTTATGTTGTGGTTAGCTAATGCAAATGCATATAAATTTAATTTTTGACGCCATTACGGGTGGGCTCGCGCGCAGGAATCATTCAAAGGCGGCCAATCGAAGGTTGCCAAGCAGACCATCGAAGGTTGCCGAGCGGACCATGCAAGGTTAATGTAATGTTACGCAATCAATTTTATTTAACTATGACTCATATCTGAAAAATGTTTATTATTATTAAAGAAAAATCTTCTGATATAAATCTTAAAGACTTAGAAAACGAATTATCTCATTTATATCAAAAACTTAATGGTGGTGTAGTAGTAATAAATAAATCAATGCATATATCAACTACCCTGTCCACATAATTTAGCAATTAATTATAAAACGTGAATTTCAATGAAAATAAAATCATTTCAATGTTAACCTTTAGGCATAAAGGTAACGGTTTATTAAATTCTGCTATTAATAACCTACCCTTTGAGCTTCACCAATTTTGTGGTTCAGGTACCAAATTAGACAAGGGAATTAAGAGGGGTGATACTGGTATAAACCCATCCCCAGTAGCACAAAGATATTGGTTCAATATTCGTAACAATATTGGGTCAAAATATCTTTCGTCAGATATTTTCTAGCATGGTCCAATATTGAAACCCAACATTGGCCAACATTATATAACCGATAATGGAAATCCGCATTGGCCCGAAGTTGTTTTACATTATATTCTAGGAAAGTTGAAGGAGAAATTGAAAGAAAAAAAAGATAGTCACCTACTAGGTGGCACCTAGTACTTACTACGTAGTAGAATTTTTAAAAGTTGTTTGTTTTCAGAAAATGTTTATAGTACTTAGGGGCGTATAAGCGGGGGCGGGTGACAATGTCCACCCAAATGATAAGGGGGAAGGGGGGTTACTTGATATAAAATGTACCCCACAAATTCTTTGAAATAATCTACCAATAAGACAAGTATGTGTTATTCTTAATTACGATGAAATGCTAAAATCTTTTGTATCGTGTGCTAAAATGATCAGCTTGAGCTTTCTTAACGTAATAACGAATTTTATTGCTAATAAGAAAATAAATCGCATATTACCCTTGTTATTCTTACGGTAATATGCAAGAATGGCCTTTATTATTTTCACCCATTTGGTGCTAAACAATAAGGATGGTAGTCGGTTGCGCCACCCCCCAACTTAAATCGTTCCTTCGCTACTAGTATAGACATATCCTGGAAACAAACGAATGTCGTTACATATCCCTTTTAGAAATCCGAAAGCATCGTTGACTATAGTCAATAGCCAATATAGGACCAACCTTGGATAAACATTGGCAATGATATATTAAATTATCATTTTATGCCAATATAGGGCTAACATCGGCTAATTAAATTCAATATTGGCCCCAGATAAAATATTGAGCATATACGCGCCCCATATAGAACCAATATTTTGTGCTACTGGGAATTAGACTCTGCATGTAAAGAACACGACATAAAGCAGATTGGAATTTGGAAAATAAAGCTTGAAAAAGGGTTGAATCTAAAGACTCGACATTAGGTGAGAAGGTTAAAAGAAAACTTGGAATGGGCATCCGAAAACCTCGAAAACCGATACCATTTAAACGAGGACTAGTCGATAAAGTTAAAAAAGATATAAATTTAGATTTAATAAATAAAAATTCGCTAAAAAATCCGCTGCTACAGCACTTAAAGCGTATGACTATAAAGAAAGCTGTAGGTTGTAAAAATATTAAAATGCCTAGGATAATTCCATTTGAATTCAAACAAGGAGAATTTTTTACCTCATTTACCACTATTAAGAGCCTTGGGGCTATGGGATCGTTGATTGGAGGCACAAGCGCTGTTGTAAGAACAGTGTAGCTGCAAAAGGTGCTAAAAATAAACTAGAATTAGGGCGGCATCATAAAGCTATGGAGGAAATAGGCAAAAAAGGTTCTGGATTATATTTAAAAAGGAATTTTAAGGGAGGATATTGTATATTTAAAAAAAAACATCAAAAAAACTAACAATAAAGTTACAAAATAGAACCCTATTCGATTTTGAATTAGTAAAATATGCACAAAAACTTAAAAGTTCTTATTTTAGAGGCGTTTTTATGCGAGATACTTTACCAAATATTCCTAATAAAAATGAATCGGCAATTCTAAATCTAGATGTAACAAAAAATGTTGGGACACATTGGGTAGCTTATACCAAAAGAAACAATTCTGTTATTTATTTTGATAGTTTTGGTGGTCTTAAACCACCTATTGAACTAGTTAATTATTTAGGTAAAAATGTTAAAATTAATTATAATAATAATTGTTTTCATACCTATAAACAATCTAATTATGGTCAATTATGCTTGTGGTTTCTTTATAAAATAAATTAGATAAAAGAAAATGATTAGTCTATTATTAACCATCGTTTATAGATAATGTCCCAACTATTTACATTAAAAAGTAATAATCATATTTTAAGTATGGATTTTAAAAATTTAATACAACTTAATCCAGAGTTTGAGTACGGTATAGCTTTAATGGGATTTTATTATTATAATAGTATTCCCAATATTTAGGAAGGTGAAAATAATTAGAGAAGCGGCGGGAGCGACTAAGAAAATAACAATATCAACTGGTACTTATGAAATATTAGATATAGAAACTTATCTTAGGCAACAAATTATTCCTAAAACTAATTAAAAGAAAGATTATTATAAATATTTTTCAGTTAAACCAAACAGTAGTACATTAAAGTGTGAAATTCAAAGCGCAAAATACGAAATAGATTTTTTGCAAGCAGATGGTATTGGAAAAATATTAGGATTTTCAAACAAAGCGTACTTTAAAACCAGGACCAGATAAAAACACGAATCAGATCTTTCCGTTAATATAATATATTGATTGTAATATAACCACAGGTGCTTATTATAATCATCTACCAACACACACTATTTACGAATTTTCCGTAAATGTTGATCCAGGCTATACAATCAACGAAATTTCCAGGAATCATATATATATATATATATATATATATATATATATATATATTGTAACGGGTTTTTAGTGTTTAAACAGTAAATAAAAAATGAAAAATTGTTTTAAAATTAATTTATTCGAATTACTATTAGGCAACCAGGTTATCATGCCATTTATCGTTGTTGCGGACAATTATTACATGCAGTTAGGTATTGTAAACACGACTTGGTTTGTTATTGTGGCATGGTAAACACGGCTTGGAGGTTATAAACAATGTTTATTTTCATATTTATTAGAAATATCCAAAGTATATTAAATGAACCGTTTTGGGAACCTCTGTTGAGCTGCAAAACACAGGAAAAAGCTATTAAGTATCATATTTAAGTAATTAATTATTAAAGTTAACTTACCATATTTAAGTTTTTTATAAATATTGGTCGGCCAATTAGATTTGATTAAGGGATTTTTGACAGAACTTCCGGTCAAGGAGGCCATTGTGATTTTTGGGTCGAAGCTTTTGGTAGCGTTGAAAGGGAGAACCAAATAATATGCTTTAGTTTCGACCATCGTTTAATAAAATTAACTAAATAAATCACCATTAATACTTTAAGGCCACCTGACATCTAAGGTAAATTATATTTTTGTTATTATAACAGATTTTCCTGTGTTTTCGAAAACATGCTTAGTGATATTTCTCTTTTAGGCCTTCTTTACTTTCTGTTTGTATTATACATTGTTTAGCAAGCCTAGTTGGGCATACATCTATCTATCATAGAACGTTATCGCTAAAACAGAAATAATCAATATTATTGGAGACCAAATTTGAGGTTACAAGGGTCATTTGTGAAGAAATACCTACCAAGTTGTGTCCTGCTGCACCGTGTCCTGCTGCACTGTGTCCTACTAAGTCGTGTCCTGCTGCACTGTGTCCTACTAAGTCGTGTCCTGCTGCACTGTGTCCTGCTACGTTATTTCCTGCTTTGCTGTGTCTGTTCGTGTGACCAGAGTTGTTGCTGTTGTCATATTTATGTGGACGAAGCCCACCCAAGGCATTTGAACATTATCCATTCCTGTTTGGCTGGAACAAGAAATTTAGTCAACACAAGTTAATCAACACCAGGTTTAGAATTTACAACATTTTACTTACTGTAAACCAATCACGTGAAAGGTATTTATTTTATTTTTTTATATACTTCTTTTTCTTTGGTGTTGACAACACTTGTTTATATTATTACAATTGGGTAATTTTACTGCAGCAAACAGGTTAAACGATGAACTTAATTGTTTTCTATTAAAAATAAAGAGTATAGAGTTTTGTAAAACTAAATTCATTATTTTTTTTGTTGCTAAAAGAAACAATTTCCCACTTACCCCTCCTACCCTTGTCAAAAGGTTACTTTTGGCTGGCGCCCATTTTTAATTATTTACCATCTGTACCCTCACCCGCTCCCGATAAAGAGAGCTGCCGCGTATGTGAGCGAAAGTAAGTATTTTTATTGATACTTAAAATTGAACTTCGCCATATAAATGTGGAGCCCAACG